AGCAAAAATACACACTCTAGAGGAGGTCGGTAAAGTAAAACTTGCTGCTGAATAGAGTCAGTACTAAGTAACAAGGTTATAATATGAAAAAATTGTAGCACACCTCAGGCTTCCACACAGCTGGAGAATGACATCCATATTCCTTCCCAGAGATGATTGCACTCTCTCATTCAGGGACACCAGCAACTCCCTACCAGAACCACTGCTGCCTCCAGTCATGCAAGTGCTCTGCAAGAGAGGTATTATTCTAATCTGAATACTTCCTCTCTCCTGGGACCTTGGTCAGGGTGAATCATCAGTTAATAAATAGTATTTCTTAACTGGGTGCAGTATTTCCAACAGCACCACAGGCATATTTCCCTTTACTCCTCTTCTAGAGAATACATCTACATGAATCCACTCAGGAGAGAACACCTGAACAGTAAGAGCTTGTAGCAAACCCATGCCAAAGAACCTGAGCTTCTGATCTCTGTTATGCTGGCACAGGTGCCATGTTTCCCAGTGCTCAATCCAGAAAACTCACACTCCTGGCTCTTACCTTTCACGTTCAATCTTCCTCTACACTACTATCCAGAGCAGCCTACTCCCTGAGACAAAAACCTAAACAGATTGCTTGACATGCAAGGATTAGTCTCGTCTGTGGTCAGTCTCTCTGAGCTACGTACCACTTGCCACAAGCCGATTAGCTGCCTGCTTAAGGAGGAGCTGGGATAAGTTTCCTTCTGACGGCAATGAAGTGGAGAGGCAGACGCTGACTGTAATAATATGCTGCTTCCTGTCTGCGGCGGAGCCGAGAGGTACTTCCCAACAAAAAAGGGTTTACAGGAGCTCAGGAGCTCAAGCTCCACCTCTTCCAGTGAAGAGCCATTAACTATGGAGGAGGGGTCACTAGCATGGCTCCTGGCACTCAAAAACGTGCACTGAACCAGCTTCCATTTCACCAAAGCATCAGAAAGAAGAAACCAAATTACACAAAATTCCCTCTCCACACAGAGGATATTTCTCCTACAGGATCTCAAAGCTCTGAATCAGATGGGATAAAAAGTAAGTGCTGTAATTCATGCTATGTGAATGAGGGTGAAAGTCCACACCACCATTTGGTAGCAATAACTGGAAAACATTTACCAATCCACCATGTGAGAACCATATTGGAACACAAAATATGTACCTGAGAAGATATTATGTCCTTTCCAGGCCCTCTCCTGATGATCACAGGTGTTTTTGAGTAGTATTAAAGAATACTTATCTTTATAAAAATCCTCCACAAAGCAAGAAAGAGTTAATGAACTGATAAGGAATCACTTCTTTTAACTGTACCAACTACACTGAAGGAAGCAGGCTTAACTCAATTGGGACCTTCTAGAAAAGAGCAGATTTTCAGCACACACACCAGTCTGAGGAAGAAGAATTTGTTCACCACACAAGCATTTACAAAACTGGGCCAAAAGAGACAATATAAAGTCTTTCCAAAGACTTTTGAGGGGACAGCTCTGGTGGCAAAGTGTTGATCTGAGCAACAGGCAAGAGAGTGTTTGGTGTCCCCCAGACCTTGCAGGTGTCGCAGGGGAGAACAGGCATGATGGATGGCTCAGGTCCTTGACACAGGTAAAGCAGATCATTTTGAGACAGAGATCAGTAAAACCTACACTTCCCAGCATCATCTTCAGAAAATGCTACTTCAGATTAAAGCATGGAACTCACCCTCATTGCAGATTTTGTGTTAATGATCCTCACAGAACTGCAGGCTAGTTTACCATGTGGGCACCTTAACAAAACACATCACAGCAAAACTGCACTGTCCAAGAAAAAACTGTTCATGGAAAGAGCTAAAGTCTCCGTGGGAAGACCCAATGTACCCAGTGTGATCCCAAATCATCTATCAGCTTTTTAAAAATCACAAGAGGTTTTGAGGGTATGGCTAAGAGAGCGCTACTGAGAAATCAGGGCCAGGCTCTGACCTCACCCATCCAATGTTGCTGATTTCTATTTTGTTAGGAGTACAAAATAGCACACACTGTTTGAAATAAACACACTCTTTGAAATAAAGGGTCCTGAACTACCAGGACAACACACTTATCATTGCATTTGTGCCACAGCAGATCTTCTCCAAGACCCTGTGCAAGACAGCAACCCTAGAAAAAGGCACTGGGGAGAGATCTATACACCACGTACCAAGGGATCATACATTCAAAGCACCTGTCACAGCCCAGACATCCCAGAAGAATTTACCTTGTAGACAGCTGACTCTGAAGGACAGAGATGGCAGAGATGTGACAGAACCAGCAAATACCACACCTAGAGGCCTAATGAGAGAAGAGAGCTCTGGCATGGGGCTGCTGTAAGATTTATTCCCAGAGGCTTCCTGTTAAATACCTCTGCAGCCACACTGCCAGACCTAAAGGAACAAAGCTAAACATAAAGCTTTTTGTTACACATCAGGGAATGGAGCAGTACAACACTGTAAGCCCAAAAATGTCCCATGTCATGTGCTTCCAGCCCATTCTATAGCCATCTATACATTAACTCTGGGTAGTAGTCCTGAAAACTGTCCCCACTGCAAACAGGATACACTTACTGAAGAAATCTATGCAAGATCAACCAAGCAAACCACAGTGGAATTTGTTATTACATACTTTTTTCAAAAGGAAGAGGTCCGTGTCTTAAAACTCACTTTTCTTGCTCTCCTTCCTGCTGAGAGCAAACAAATTACCTGTCAGTCATGTCTGATGTAAAAGGTTTATTGGAAGCTATTTTTTAACCTTACTCCTCTCTCCATGCAGCACAACCTTTGCTGGCTTTATGCTCTGGTTTTCCCCTCTCATGAGGCTGCCTCCCCATGCTCCTCAATGCACTTTCAACAGTGCTCTTCTGACTGGTCAGTCCTTATTACCTCTTTGTTTTGGATGAATATTGTTCCTCCAAGTGGTTTGTCTAATGTTTTTGTTGTTTGTCTTTATGTCAGGAACTTAAGGGTGTCATTCAGGCAACCTGATCTGCAGAATCTATACATCAGGCAGCACAGACAGGACAGAGGCTGAGTTTTCTCAGAAAGAAACCATTCTTTTATAAATCCACAATTACCAGTTTCCACTGAAGAAAATAGAAAACCAAAAAGAAAACCAGAACATCTAAAACTCTGATTACCAAATGCTACATATTTTTAGTTAAGGAGAAAAACCTCAAATCGTATAACACACTGATTTGAAACAGAAAAAAAATGCATCAAAGAACTCTGAACTTTAGAAAGGAAGATACAGAGGGGAAGCAGAGTGGTCTCAAAGAAAACCAACAGAAAACTGCATGACTGCAAGGAATCCAAAGCACTGACAGCAATGATGTAACAGAGCAAACCACAGCAGGACTAGGCCACCTTCTGATTTCCTAAGTGGTTTTCAACTTCAAGGTAAATGAGTCAAGCGCCTCCAAAAGCCACGAGAGAAAGAGCAGACAGAAATAAGGAGGAAACACACTTTTCTTGAATTTACCTAAGCACCATGATACACTGCTCAGCTGGAGACAGTGCAAACTGTATCTGCTTGAATTTCAAGGTACCTTTACCTTTTATCAGCTATGGAAGGCAGGGACTGGCAGAGCCTGATACCAGAGTCTGGGAAATAACTCTTCACTGTTTGACTCAAATGGGGCAATCTGAGGGAGCAAAGAAACTGCTCCCTCCTGTCCCTAATTCAGTCTTCCTGATGGATATTAGATCTCTCCCAACTGCAACAGTAAGCAGCACAGGTAACAGTACACTTACCTGAAAAAAATCAGTCTTTATTTATATTTGAGAAAATGGAAGCAAGATCCAGGATAAAATGCTTTATTAATAGGTAAATAAAATCACAGTTTTGAAAACATATTCCCTACTCAAATCACTGCATAAACCATCACTCTGTACTCTCACATTGACACCTGATATCAATATTTACTTACCATACCCAGATGTGCCTCCTACCTGTCCAACTATGAATATAGAAAGTGTTTTCAAGCTTTGGGAAGGTGTTGGGGTTTTATCTGAACACAGGCACTGCAAAGCTAAAACAGCTACAAACAGAAATGCCCTTTGGCAGCTGTTTAAAGCAGCAGATCACTTCTGCTGCAGCACAAGGCACACTGCTCAGTGTTAGTCACCACATGCAGGACCAGGAGGGATTCTTCCCTCCACCTGGATTGCTCCCTCCTTCACCTTGCCTTAGAGCAACACTTCCTTTCCCCAGGCTCCTACTCCTCTGTACCGACCCCCTCAGCAGCTGTGTGGAGGTTTGCTGCTGTTCATCAGCTCAACACTCACCCTGCAGGGCTGATGTTAATGGCTTTTGTTCTGCACACCAGGTGCTCCCCCAGACTGGAGCTTGCAGAACACTTGCACCTCAGTAATACAATCATTTTTCCTCCCAGTTCCTGAGCCTGGAGAAAATGAAGCAGGGACACCACCACGTCTGGTGTTTCCAGACTGCAACTACTTAGCACACATTCCACATCTGACGAGTATCCTGAACCAATCCCACAGTTATTTCTGTGCTATTTCTTTCTGTTCCTCCTTTTGCTTTCCCACTATATATAGCAGGCATATATAAACACACACACAGACACACACAAATAAAGTCAGAGAAAGAAGTTTACATATTTTAATGCCTATGGGAAAAACTAAATTCCTTTAGCAAGATCTCCACCATAAACATTACCTCTAACTCCCTCAGCAGAACAGATTTTTCTGTCCCACTGTACAAACAGGTTCTATCAAACCCTTTTAGCTTACAGGGAAGAAAACCCCTGAATGCCAAGTCTTAGCACAATACATAGTAACCTAAGGTATTTCCCTGAGGTAATTTCCCATGTGCACAAATATGAGTTATCATATTGTAAAGAAAAGTAAGCTTATTATTTATTTTTCATTAAAGATGCTGTGAAGATTGTTCAGGTGTTTTTCAACTCAGCAAAAGAGATGGGATATGGGGAAAAGATAGAAGAAGAACAAAAAATAATGCAAAAAGTCCTACCGTGAAGCTGTTGTTGACATTCTTTGTGCTGGATTCTGCCACACTGGCATCTGTCAGATCCACCTCATCAAAAATAATGGACTGTAAAGAAAAAATTCAAAATCTCGATAAATTATTGAATCCAGTGCATAAGCAGCAGACTCAAAGGGAGTCTTTCTAGAATGTTCCATATCACAGCCTTTTATGACTTGAAGGAAAGACACAGCACCAACAACATCAAGGACCTGGAAGTCTAGTTCCACACACTGGAGATCACTCTGGCCTGTCTTCAGACAGTGAATACAGTGGCTTTATTTTTATTAAAGGATTATTTAAAAAGAACACCAAATAACTGTAGGTTTTGTTCTTGTGAAAGGAGACAGTTTTATATCTAGTTGACTATCAGCATACTAAACCAGAGGCATAGCAGCTCTGATTTGATAAATTCTAGCCTTGCTTGTCTACTGCACCTTCTCTTTTCACTTGTATTCTCTTCCTTCTATTGATTTAGAGTCCATTCCCTACTAACATGCACCAAAGGGAGAAAAAATGTGGAAAAATCAGTATCACAGGTCCACATGATGCTGCACTTCAAAACCAAGGATTCCCAAGTGTGAGGCAAAACACAGGGATGTTCTAATAGCTACAAAGCCTGAAGACCAGTGCCTAAAGAGCTCATTTCTCTGCTGAGGGCTACCTCCCACTGACATCCATCTGTCTCCAAAGCCCCTCTACTGACTTCCTTCCTTGGCCTCACAGGTAGTGTCAGGACCTTACCTTAGCAGTTTTTGCATAGTAGAGCGTTCGTCCTCGCAGTTTAAAGTATCGTCTCTTCCAGCGCTGGAAGGAGCTGGTCTGTTTCATTAGCATCCCCTCTTTTATGACAGTCTACAAAAGCATCAGAGGAGAGCAGTGAAGCATAGGTTTTACTGACAGGCACATTTTCTGCTTCCCCAGCACACACCCATATGAACAACTGGAGTTGGAGCCCAATAACCTCAGTGCCCTCTGCTGGAAGCGTTTCACAGATTCATTCAGCAAAACCGAGCAGCCTTCGCAAGATAAAACTCTCGTGAACAAACAACCCACACTGTGGTGAGGTTTTACCCTTGTCTCCAGCACTATCACGATACCAAAGAAGATAAATAACTTAAAACTGAATGAGCATTTCAAATCTAACAGTGATTTGGGGAGTGTAACAGTTAAACTCACCGAGGTCGCATTTCAGTCACAGGTAATTGCACCTTTCATTTAATTGGCATCTGATTAGCAGCACAAACACACCCAGGATATCTGTCTCTACCTCCAGCTGTGCCTTGCAACCAGCATCTACCTGGCACAGAGGTGGCAAGCTGCAAGCCCAGGGGGTGAAGAGTGAAACCAGAGCAAAGAAGGAGCTATATCTAACATCAGCATTTGGTATTCTTCAGATAATCTTGGCCCTGCTTCGGTACTCGCTGGCCAGCTGCCATTTCCCAGGGCTGTAGTGCCAAAACTGTCTATGCACACTGACTTTTTTTCTTTAACTGCTTTATAACTAGACTGACATACCAGCACACACAGGCTCATATGCTCATTCATATATACTGTGCATATGTGGGGGTATGGATTTAATCCACGTGTATTTCATTCAGGTTTTAATACCAACAGCTACATGAAAATAATCTCAAAAACTGCAGCTCAGAGAGACAAAAGGCAAAAAAGTCAGGGCTGAATGTACAACCCCAAATTCCTGATTGTAAATACTGCCTAGGAGCTACAAGCAGTACTATGCCATGCCTTGGTTCCTCAAGAAACCTTCTTCTCTCCTCAGGAGAGTCGCAGGAACCTACTTCTTGCTGAGGGAGCTCAATGGGATAAACACCCAGTACAACACAGGACACAAATGGTCTGACAATCTTGTAAGACAGGTTATTCTGTATCTTGGTGCCAGGAAAATAGCTTTAACATACCAGAGGTCTCAGTGGAATTCAGGTTTGTAACAGTAAGGTCGCTGATAAGTATCAATTCACGAACAGCAACAAATGGACACTGCCAGGCTACTACAACACACAAAATAAATTCTCTAACTGATCCACAGAGTTTAGTTCATGTTAGAACTCCTTTCCAGGGCATTAAACTTGCTTTTAGAATGCTATATATATGTATTTCTAATGTGTGCCTTTAGTTTTTGGAACAGCTGCAGATTTTGATATGTTCCACATACACTGACCCTTGCCAAGCTCAAAGCTTCCTCAAAAACCACTTCGAAAAAAATGCTGATTATAAGGAGAAGCATCCGTCTGACAATATATCCTTCTCTTTTGCTAGACTGAGCTATCCTCAAACTGGCCTGAGAGATCACAGGGTCTGGACCATCATGGCAAAGCCTCTACTCACAAATCAGCTGGGAAAGAGCAGGCTGCACATTCCACCAGATCCTAAACAGAGCTGTCGGATATAGAAGCCACTACAATCTTCCTCCACTGTGCTGGGAAATAGAAAAGGGCTCCCCTGCCTCCTGGAAGAACAGCATCTACCTTGGATGCTGGACCCTGGCCAGCTCCAAGGGTAGCAAATCCCAAGCCTCAATCCCCTCCCAGTGGTCTGTTTCACAAAGCCACCTGCACAGCAGAAGAAATATCTGCCAGTGCTCAGGCAAACACCAACTTAAGTGTGCCTGAAGCAGGCACACCAGGAATTGCCAAACTCCACAGAACTTTCGGCAGAATGAAAAGAGAAAACAAAAACACACAACTGAGGATTAAGCTCCTATAAAACATGGCTGTTTCCCACACCAGCTCCCCACAGCTCTGAAGCAGTCACTGAAAGGCATCCTGGCACTCGTTTTCACACATGAGGACATAGCAGCAGGAATACACTCTATGAAGCCATAAAGCATCTAGGATTGGCTTTAGGGTCTAAAAGTTGAACACACCATAGCAAAACCCAGAAACAAAATGCTAAACCACCTTTGAGCTGGTGTTATGCAAATAACCCAAAATTCAGACATTATTTTAGCTGAAGCTTCAGCACAAGAGAAAACGGAGTGCAAAGACTGACCAAACAGCATCCCTCGCTGAAACAACCCTGCAGGCAAGGCCAGAGCTGAAGGCACTCATCTGGAACCCAGAAAGATGCATTCATGCTCCTACTCTGCCATGGACTTTTTATGAGCTCCCAATAAAGCAATTTTCACTCTGTATGTCTCCATCTGTCAAACAGTAGAACAAACAGCATTCGCCAATTCTGTGGAAACATGCTAAAATATATATTTCTCTCACAAGTTATTTTAACCGCCAGCACCTGAGTATCAAAGAGAAATGTAAAGTACCAGCATCCAAATTACCACACTAAAGAAATCACACATTTCTGCAGCTCATTTTTTTACAGGGAAAAAAAATGGGAAAGTGGCAGGAGATTTTCCAGCTTAAGACAGAAACATGAAGTGACTTTTGCATTCCCTGGAAAAAAACACATATAAATAAAAAATGAGATGAAGAAAGCAGCTACTGAACTCTGCAAAGCCCTAAACCAAAATCAGAGAGGAACTAAAAATCCTGGGGAAGACTCCTCAGATGAAAAGCCTGAAGATATCAAGTCAGCCAGGAGGCTCATCAAAAAACAGCAACTTGCAAGAGGAGATTTCAGAGCTCTGTTGCTATGCTTATTTACAGCTATGGCTTAACTAGGGTCAGTCAGAGCCCTTATGCACCCCAGGCTCAGCATCACAAACTCTTGCCCAGCCCACCAGCACAGTAACTCTCAGCAAAACAATGCCTCTGCTTTCCCTCTGCTCCCACAACTCCCGCCTGCTCCCTCACCTCAGCTGGGCTCACTCACCTCTGCACAAGACGTGCATTCCTCCATTCCTCTTTTAAACCCTCTTTTTTTTTTTTTAACCAAAATGCAACACTTGCAGAGGTCACCTTGCCCCGCTCGAAGCGGCAGTTCCTGTCATTGCCGGGCTCTATCTATAGAAAACCTCACAGCTCCCCAGCTCAGACATGAAAGGCCAGAGCAGGAGCACTCCTGCTCACAGCACACCCGCCTCTGGTTCGGTGCCTGTGCTTCAGCGCTGCCCATCCCTGCACGAGAGCAGCCCGGCTATTTATAGGCACTCACTTCAGCACCGTTTGGTGGGTTTGGGCGGAAAGGGCCAGAGATAAGATCAAGATGACTTTATAAAATGATGTAGACATCGCTGCCTTTCTCTTCCTCTATTCTGACTTTACAGCCACGGGACTTGTTACTTACAGAGGAATGCAGCTGCAGAAAATGAGCTGGGGAAAGGACATGACTGCAAAGTGACACAAACGAAATAAAAGGGGGGAGGTGAACAGCTACTTCTGCTCCCCAGGCTCTCTGCAGATTTTTAATCGAAGATCTACTCTGATCAGATTACTGGGCATGTAATTCATCAAGATAAAAGTGAAATTGCTTCTCCCATAATGAAAAGAGAGTGTTAAATCTATTTTTAGTATCATATATTGGATCCTATGGGAAAAGCTACTGCCCTGAAACACTATGAGGATGCACATATAATTATGTGCATCCTATCCAGGATAAATACTAAAATTGTTTGCAATGGAACTATGCAGACTGTTTTCTATCCAGCTGAGTCTCTTTCCAGTGTGGTGTCCTGTAGCATGGCATTCCATGGGCAGATAACATTACAAAAAAATGAATTATCATCTCGGATCAAGCATAAAATGATGTGATACTGGTTTCAACACTGACTCCTGTTATCATATTGCAATTCAGTGTAAAAACAGTTACTGAAGAAACTGACAATTTAAAACAACACTGCACATAGCAGAGTGTCTTAGGAAATCTGAAACGAACAAGATTAGATAACTGAAAGGCAAGGCCTAGGAAATTTCTAACATTTTAGTATTTATCTTTGGCCTTGAAGAACAGCAACTTCCTGCAGAAAAAAATTCAGTTTATGGCAAGCAATATACAACCCTCCCCCCAGCTCATCCCCTTTCAAAACTTGACATTTAGGGAGAGCAATAATATGTTCTCAGATTTCTCCTGTCAAAATGGGTGCAGGGTGCAGGCCTAATCCTGAAATGACAAAAGAAAAGTTTTGCCACTGACCTCAACAGGAATGGTTTCAAACAACTCAGAGGACTTAAAAAAAGAACTTAAAAGAAAGAGAGCCTTATGCTTCACTGTTTCCCCTTCCGGCCTTGTAAGAACAAGAAGCCAAAAGATTAACAGGAGCTGTTCAGAAAACCAACAAGACACAGTTGTGTTTTTGGCAGCACTGCTCATCTGAGGTGTCTCTGCACCCAGTAACCCATGTCAGGTGCTCAGAGACAGCCAACACAGATTAAGTGCTTTCTACACTGATAACATGAGTGATTCTACTAAAAGTTAGGAAGGATCATGTCAGATTTCAGCTACTTTCAGATTACATCCCTTGTTTTCCTGCACACAGTAATGCTCACCAAGTGAAAGGCAGGAGCAGACAATCCCTTCCTGAAGCTTAAACCTATTGCCCCATTTGGAAGTAGGGCTCTTGATAAAACTGATTTCCTAATCTGGAAAACATGCCCTATTAGCCAGACTGAGGGTGACTATCAAGTGTGTCCAGCTGTCAGGCTGGCAAGTGTCCCTCGGCATAGGGAGGCTCCAAACCATGTTTGATAGAGACAGAGGAACAATGCAACTTATTTCACTGCTGAGATCATAACATATTCTTAGGGGCAGTTACTCAGTGCAGCATATCAAAAACAAGAATTATGCTTCACTGACACATCTTTCCAATGCAGAAAAAGAACTATGTACAAGGTAACAGCACAAAGCTATCTAAATAGCAACTAAAGAATCCCAAACCCGAAGTCCCCAGCATGTGGATTTCTCTGTTTATCATGGATCTCCAGAATGTAAAAACTCTAAGA